CCTTAACAGCAACCCAGTAAAGGTCTGGCTCATAGTCATGACTGCTCCTCGCAAGTCTGACTTCGGTATGGTCTTCGCGTCTAATGGAATTGCCATGACAATTATAAAGGGATTTCGGGATCATAATGGAGAAGCAAACAGAAAAATGAAATGAGCCNNTGAGCCATAGCCTAAACTCCCAGTATCCGCCGCAATAACCCCTAATATAATGCTCTATGTAACCCCTTTTAGGAGTTTAGATTATGGCTCAAATGGAAAGTGAAACGGAAGCTGGGAGGAAAGCTAAGGTTGCCCTCGGCCTGGCTCCTGCCACTATCACGAGTATGCAGCCCGGAGAAAATATTGTATAATAACACAGTATATCATATATTATATTGTCGTATAATATAGTACATTATAGTAGAATATATGAAGATATCGTATATTGTAGTATAGTCTACTATATTCTATCACAATGTAGTATATTGTAATAGAATTCCAAGCAACAAGGGCCATGGTGAAAGGGCTGAGACCCAGGCCCAGCAAATCCTTCGGAGGTGAAATGTCCACACCCATGTCACCTGCGAGCCATAGTTTGGAACCTAGTAATATAGGGATAATGGAAAAGAAAATTGATTCTACTATAATATAATAGGGTTATATTGGGGTTATATTGGGGTTATATTAAATAGTGTTTTTTTGGTGGTTGAACCTAGTAAGATTATATTCCTAATGTAAAATGCTATACCCCAAAAGGAGGATATGATCTTACTCTATAGTGGGTACCATAGTGTCCCCAAATTAAATACTACTCAGTTGCTTCCATTTTGTGTGCGAAGTCGATTGAGGAACTGTGCCCTGTTTGGTACCCAGAAGCCCTCCACGCTTAGTCCTAAAACTTCAACTTGAAAGCCCAAAAACTTGACCCTAAAATCTGAACCCTTCCCCCCCCAGATTTAGATTTCTGTTTGGCTTAGTGACCTAGTGAAGCTCTATACAGTCCTAATTCGCTCTACGTGGGGTACCTTTTGGGCGGTTGTATGTAATCCCTTGCATCCCCTGCGCCCCACACTGCTGTTTGCCTCCCTGGGAGGAGCCCTGCTCGAAGGTGTAGGCGTCACCTGTCAACTCACGGGTTAGTAAAACATATACTGGAGGTTTCCCAAAATTAGGGGTACCCTTGAAAGTGGATATAGGGGTCATATTGGGGTCATATAGAGTTGAGGGTTTCCCAAAATCAGGGCTACCCGTTTGTCTGGGTGTTGCGAAAATGAGGAGCACCGTAATTTGGCGTCTGTATTGGGCCCCCCCTATTTTGGGACAATACTAAAAAGGGGATGGAGGGCTAACGAAAGGGAATTTTGGAGCTGCTACTTAGGGTTTATAGTCTCCCTTAAGTAGATAGAATATGGCTTCGGGCATATTACGATAAGATCCCCATATACCCCATATTCTATCTACTTAAGGGGGACTATAGGGTTTGAGATGGCTAGTCGCAAATGGAGAAATGCTTGGAAACGCAAGTGGAAGGTGACATGGAAACTGGGCGTCTCTAGGGCCTAGGGCTTTTTGGTGGCTTCCCAAAATAAGGGGAACCCACCATGGAGCCATAAATGCTATACTCCTTATTCTGGGAAACCCCAAAAAATACCCCTATTTTCGGGAAGCCCCATACAGGGTTTTTGGTTTGGGCTTGACTTGGCGGTTGTTGGCAGGGAATGAAGGAGTGACATTCAAAGTGGCAACGACTTGATTGGGTTCATGTAGGCTATTATGGAGGTCCTATCAGCAACCAAGGGCAAGGTTCCAGGCAACTGAGCTGCAGTTGCACGTTTCGGGTTCATTCGGGTTAAGGGGGTTTAGGGCTTCGGCTGTTTGGTGCTTAGTGTTTTTCTGGTGGTTGAGCCAAATAAGATGTTGGGATTATGACATCACTGTGTAAAATGCTGTTCAAAAGTGAAGAAGGTGTTCTGGGGCTGGCTAGGCTTTGCTGCTGCAATCTCCTCAATCCCATCTTCTCCTTGATGATGCTTGATGGCTGTTTTGCGTATGTGAGCAGAGTAGGTACTACAGTTTCAGAAGAGCTTTACTTTTTGGCGGTTAGCCGGTAATAAGGGAAGGTAATCCCCATATTATATAACCCCTGCATAATATGTTTCGTTACTCCGTACTAAGCCCCGGTAAGTTCAGGGTACGTTCCGTTCTGAAGTGCCGTGGAAACCCAGTAACTGGGAGTTTACCAAAGAAATTCCTTAGAACCCGCCTTAGTAGAGACCCCCAGAATGCCTTTGCTATCTCTATATATCCCTGGGGTCCGTGAAGGTCTCTTTGGTTGGAGAAGCCAGAACTCAGGCCAGCACCTGTAATGTGCCACACAGCTCTTTGTTGTCCTTTGGGCAGCAACTTGATACCTCCGGAAGCAATGGAACAGGGATCTACTCGACGGATGAAACCTACATGCTCATTTCTCGCGTGTGACGGAAGCATGTGTATGTATGTTGTATGATGTCTTTAAATGTGTATCTATTTGTGTATGTAGATGGCGAAGGAAAGCAGGCTGTCGCTCCGCTTCTGGGTCTTTTATCGCTTGGACATTTCTTGTTATGGGGATCCATCCCCCAAAAATGGACCTCCCAAGTTTCCAAGTTTGAGAAACCTAACTGTCTGAGTTCACCCCATTTCTCATTCACATATGTGAGATGTAAAGCATCAGCAGCTGTCCACTCGGGTGAGCGAAGAACGTGCTGGTATGGGCGATTGCCTGACGGTCCTGGATGATCATAAGCCAGCTACATATCGCTTCTAAACTTGACTGGGGTATCTTTTGATTTCTGTGGCCCTTCTTCTGACAGCGCCCACCTTTACCATCTGGATCCAGGACGCATCGGTCAGAGGGAAGCTCATGAGTTCGGGCAACAAGTGCTGCCAAGAGCGCCTGCGCCTCAGCAAGCTACATTCGTGCATGTCTGATATCCTTCATAGGTTTAAGTTATGACTGCTAGACCCTAAATAGGGGAAGGGAGGATGGATGTAGGGGCCTAGAAAGTGTAGAAATGTCGGGTGCATGTTATACAGCGGCAGCATGCGGCAGCTGACTTCAAGATGTCTGAGGGCTTCGCCAAGTGGGGCTAGAGGAGTTGATAGCGTTCAAGTTTAGATACACCCCTGCCAGTCCGTGCACTGCCCAGAGAATGAAAACCTTTGGAGCCTTCACACCAATTCCTGAGTGAAGTCATTCTACCATTTCTGTTCAAGAAACCTGGACCTGGAAAATTGAAGTCATTCACATCTTAATCTAGTGCTCGGCCCTTGATATTTGCGCCACTGCAAAGTTCTACATTACTTAGGAACATTGAGACAGGGTTCCCTGGGAGGCTTTATGCAAAGAATCCACATGTTGGGGCAGACATGTTTGTGCCCCGCTTCCCTAATTTATATGGCTTGCCCTGACTGTGGGCGTGCCTCCTTCATGTGAGACTCGCTGATATCCTGGAATTTGGCAGCCTGCCAGTGAGCGACACTTGTTGCTGCGACAGTGAAACATATTGCACAGCTCGCTGCGCTCAAGCTGTGACGTTTAGCCACCTGCACGGCCGCTCGCAGATCTTCGATATGCTTCCACCCGCTGTTCCGTACCTGGCCATGTAGGTGAGCTCTCAGCATGAGGCAATCTCGCAGAGTAGATGAGGTCAGTCAGTATGCCGCTATAGAGCCCTTGTTTATCAGATCCTGTGTTACCCCATCATTGATGCTTCGCAGACAGCACCTCGCTCTCTGCCATCTTGCACATTGTCGTTGCAATCCATGGCCTCAGATTCCCGGTCACTGTTCCTGCAACAATACTCAACGAGATTCAAGCTGTTGAGTTTCAGAACCCAGCGGGGATTCATAACTGAGCCGCCATGATTGCAGTCGCAGGCAATGCTATGTACAATCTGCCGAAACATTCTGTGATGAACTCCGAGTGTCAAGCTTGCCTACGACGGGCGCCTCGGTCAGCCTGTCACGGACAGGTGCTCAAGGGCGAGCGTTGGAACGAATGTAGGTACCAGTACTGATCCAGTGAGGTATGTAGCAATTACACATGGAATCACAGGGATGCATTCTCCTGTTCTGTCATTTCCCGAAAGCGAGAATCTCCTGATCTATTCCAAAATACTATTATCCTTACTTGGGGACTCCCAAAAAGGCTGTAATTGTTGGAAGCTTATCCGCATAAATCGGATGTACATATTCACAGTTTCCATTTCATTTTCGTGCTTCTGCTTTTCCTTTCGATTCTGCGCTATCAGGGTAATATCCTATTTCACTTAAGCACCAGGGAGTCAGCTCGCGCGGCCCTAAATGCATCCAAGGCAAAAACTAATCCTGTTAAGGTCTTTAGGGCTTAGGGTTTAGGGCCCACCTCCAGAATGCGAAGTGTTCCCAATCAATTGAGTGTAGTACCTTCATAAAGTGCGTGAATATGTATCATTAGTTTTTTTTTTTGTAGGGCATGGGATCATACCCCAAAATGGGCCCTAACACCCTAAGCCAAATGCCTTACCGGACCCAGACATACCAGCAACAGCACCTTAATTTAGCTGGGGTGGTACTTGAAAGGCCCCGCAAATGATCTAAACCCTAAGCCCTGAACTCGAGCATTCGGGGAAAATGATGATTATCCCAAGGTGCTAGTTGAGGGTATGTTCCTTCTGAAGCCCTTGGTGACCCCCCTGCCGCACAGGCCTTACTTGCGCAGCCCATCTCAGATCGGGTCGGGCTTCCTGCCATGTTCAGCAACCTAAACCCTAAACCCTACAACAGTCACCAAGGTGCTTTGGGCAGAGGATGGCAGAGGGACCCGGAACCCTCAGCCCTGAACCGGTTGCCAAAGCCTATGAAAGGCGGCTTGCTGGAACTTTTTTGAAAAACTGGGTCTAGGCATCTTAGGTTCCATGAAATTCCCAAGTCAAGGGCCCAAGTGCTGGTTGAGTGGGTTTTATGTCAGAAGAAAATCTAGCTCCTGCTGCCGAAGCTTCAAACCACACAAACCTATGTGTCCTAAACCCTGAACTTTCAAACAAACCAAGCACAATGTCTGCGCAAATACAGCGCACAAACCTACATGCGGCGTAGCCTCTAGATTCAGTCCCCAGGGTCCCTGCGCAAATGCCACAAGCCCTTGACCCTTACTTTGCGTATCTGCATGAAAATCTCAAATACATCCTACTCCCTGAAGCATGAACCCTGAATGTACACTAAACCGCGTCACTCTACACCCAAACTGTAAATAGCAGAATCATGTGGAGGACTCGCAAGATGGAGCTGCACGTCAGAACCCTGTGGTATATGGGGACTCTATGAGGGCTGTCATATGGGTCCATATTGCAGCGTATGGCGCCTGCTCTGAGAAACTACAACATCCCCAAAAAACCTGAACACTCTGCATCTCTCTGTACCTTTCAAGGGACCCTTCTAAGCCCTAAACCCCTGATTATCATCCTCCACGGCTCGCAGGAGCTCCCTTTCTGCCTGAGGCGGGCAGGTCGTATCATGAGAATGATTCCCAACCCTCTTTTTAATGAAGCAACCCTAACCCCTAAACCCTCTTTTAAGGGATCCCCCTCTTTTTGGGATACCCCACTCGTTTCAGCAGACTATTGTCAGTCCTTGCATGTGGGGGCGGGTTCCTGAATGGGGTTTGGTGATTACTCCCATGAGTGTAGGGGGCCCTCAGAGACCCTTCAAAGGTTTCACAGGGATATCTACTATGTATATGTGTGTCTCTATATCTCTATGCTACCATATATCTATGCGTACATATATATATATATATGTATATATATATAAATACTCCCTAAGCCCTAAACCCTGAGCCCTCTATATCTTACTTGTACATATTAATGCATCTATATCTATATGTGTATATATAAACACACTATATATATATGTATATATGTATATCCATATACATATATATACGTATATATCGAGGCGCAAGGTTTAGGTTGTCAGGTTGAGGGTTTAGGGTATAAAGCTTAGATTAGGAGCTTAAGGTGTATATTGAATTTACGGTTTTGGTGTTTAGGGTTTAGAGTCGGGATTTAAGGGTTTTCTGGTTTCAGAGCGTTGGGGTTCTCGAGTTTTGTGGGCTCAGGGTTGTGGGGCGCTAGGGTTTGTAATTTAGAGCATGGGGAAGGTCTTTACTGTTTTGTGGATGACGTAGATTCAGTGTCCCGACTGGCGGGGCCTTTGTGGCTGATGCTTTTGACTTTTATTGATTGCGGAAGGTGTTAAGGCTTAGGCTCAGCATGAACAGATTTGGGTATAGTATTGTGCCGAACCAGCTTCAATAAGAAAACATCCGCCGAAGGTCGCACTACTGTAGCGAATAATCCTACAATGGGAGTGAAATTCTTTGGGGGGGGTACTGGTCATCGCAATCGTATCCAACCAGGTGAGAGATATCTCACAAGTCTGGTCTGGCTTGTCCAACGTTCTCCGTAGTCCCCTTAGACCTATAATACAAATATTATGTTGTACAATTTCTCAAGGTTATACTATAACAAAAATGAAAACTGATTCCCAAGGAGGCTACAGTTCTTGCCTAGGGTTCACATTATATCAGCATCTCATGTGTCAGGACCTCCCTTAAAACAGGTACTAAAGGAAAGGATAAGTAGTGGAGGGGCCCGCGAGGACCTTCTGATCTGTAAGTGAGGACTCCTAAACCCTGAACTCTAACGGGAACCACAATCATTGGGGAAAAGAACACCCTAATCCCTAAACCCTAAACCCCTGAACCCCGAAAAGAAGTGGCAATGTCATTGTCATGCTCTGAATTCTGGGCCCCACCAGCATCCTGGAGTCGAACAGCTACAGTGAACGTGATATTGTAGACCCTGCCTTAGACCCCAAAACCTAAGCCCTAAATCCCAAAGCCTAAACCCTAAACCCTAGCATGCCTACAGCGTTGCGCATGAACACCCATTTAAAGTCCTTGAGCCAAAGCTCTGGATCCTTGATGTCCAGACGAATCCCTACCCGAATGTTAATCCCTGAAGCTTGCCCCCCAAAGCCGAGGTCCCAGTTCAAATATTCAGAAATAATCACATCCTTCGCCCTGGATATCTAATACAATTGTAAGTTTTTTTCTTAGGGCTGCCTATACCACAGCTATCTCTTTTTCTGGCTTTGGGAAGCCTGTTGCAATTGGGTTTGGGGAGTAGGGTGTAGGGTTTCGGGATGAAGGTTTAGGGTTCTGGGCACATGTACAGAGGGTTCGTTTTGAAGAGGTCTAGGGAGTTTGTCACAAGATTCACTGGGCACACGCAGAACCTTCATGCTGCAGGTCTTTCAAGCTGAGGGTTTAGGGTTTAGGGGTTTGGGGTAGGGTGTAGAATCCCAACCTGCAGGTTCATGCATAGTTTGGTTTGAGGTTTTGAGTAGGATAGCACGTCTCATAAGTTGTGCTACAAGTGGTTCTGACTTGGTTTGAGGTAGTTATAGCCCTACTTACAATTGCCCATGAACCTCAGACAGTTTCGGTCAACATACGAATGTAATCCCCAAAAGAATCCGCGTAACGCGTCTGTACCCCTATACCCTTTGACTAACACCCATATCACTGAAACTGGCGGCAGACCCTGCCTCCAAGGTGCTGAGCCACTTCCTTTGCAACAAAAAACCCAAGTGGCTATTCGGGGAGAATCAAATGGATAAAGAATCAGAAGCTGGTCTTATATCGGCGTTTGTAGGTCTTCTGTAACGTAGGCGCCTATATACTTGCCAATATCACTTTGAGGACTATATGAGGTGCCCCATGCCATAGATATACAAGGAATCTAGAACTATAACACTGGTGATTAGTTCCTGGGCCCCTAGAGTTAGGGTTTGGGTTTAGGGTGATATAGAGATTATAGGGTCTATATTGGGGGTTAGACAGGGATAGTGGAAAAGAACGTGGAAACTACTATATTGGGGTTTAGGGCTTAGGGTTTAGGAGTTAGGGCGTCTGGTTTCCTACAGTATCCAAAACATGTAAGCTCTAAACCCTTACCCCTTCAAAATGCAGGGAGGCTTTACAGGAGGATACTGCAGGGTTTCGTCAGGATCACCTGCGGATTTTTACAATGTTATCGAGAGGCTACATGGGAAATCTTAAAGGACTTTAGATTCATCAACGGTTTCCGTCAGAGGTTTTTCGGCGGTTGGATTGAATCTAGATTGTGACGGTCTTTTCCTGCGCAAGGATTCTAGCGACATGCGCTCGTCCTTCTGTTGAGGACAGTGTTGTCTCTAGAGAAATCGCAAAACCGAAGCACAAAACTCTAAACCAGAATAAAACCCCAAACTCGAAACTTACTGGTGGGTAGTACTGAATTAAGGTTACAGGGGGACCTCAATGAAGACCCCAAAATACTATATCCTTCTTGTTCGAAGGACCGCCTAAAGGGTACCCGCATTTTGGGAAACTCTAGACTCTAAACTCTAAACCCTAAATACAACCTTATAATATCACTATATAACCCCTTTATCACCCTTAAAGGTACACCTAAATTAGGGAAACCTCCATGTTATTGGGTATTGCACGAGGACTACTGCAGGCATCCAAGCCCTAATTCGCGACTACCTCCAGTAACTCGCAATTATATATCGGGGTATAGTGTTTAACGTGTTCTTAGTGCAAGGTTAAGGGTTTATAGGGGTGAGCTACAGTCAATGTTTCCCATATACTTAACGGACATGAGTTCCTGAGTAGGGCACATATTTGGGATTAGGCTAAGCTATGAGAAGGACCCCTATGTCCACCCTTAATGGTTTCTGGGTACCGCTAGTATTGACAGTAGCTCATATGAGCCTGAAATCAAGCAAATTTGGGGCTGGTTTGTATATGAAGCACCATCTCCGGTGAGGTCGGGTGAGGTCGTGATAGTTTGCCCTGCAGTAGGTATGCCAGTTGCATTGCAGACGAGCAGCTCCCCCTTTTGAAGAAGGTCGTCAACCCTGGCACGGGCCTCATGGGAGCGATTCCATTCGGCTTTTGCATGGATTTTGGGGTTCAGGGTTGGGGTGTAAACGTTGAGGGTTTGGGGAAAGATGAATACCCCGGATAAGCTTACACGGCCATCTTACTTCTAGCCCTCAATATGCCGAACCATGAACCTCCAGTAGGTCGGGTGGGCAATATGCCATGGGTAGTTGCATTCAGTGGCCGATCAGGGGCGTCCCAGTTCAAAGGCCTCAGAATTCCAAAGCCCAACCTCTTGAATCTCAAATCTTCTCAATCGGGGATCTGGACATGTAGAACTTCGGTGGACCCGCCACTGCCCCCCACCCTGTAATACTGGTATACGGTATACTTGGAATACAAGGGGACCCGAATATAATAATCACCATCCCTTCTTGTCACTGTTACTGGGTGGGGGTCCACCTCATGTAGATGTGTTGTTGACCAACATGGATCTGACTGAGTTTGGGTTTCTCAGCAGAAACAACACAAGATCTAGAGTGCCCATTGAGTAGACCAAGTATGGAATTGCCCGATATTTTCATAAGATCACCTTTTCTCCAAAATTCTCTCTACTTGAGGGGGACTATACCCTAAACCCTAATCCCTAAACCCTATCTGCTTAAGGGCGACTATACCCTAAACCCTAAATCCTATCTACTTAAGGGGACTATAAGCCGCTTTAGGCCGGCTAGGGGCTCCTAGGATTTGTGGCTTCGGTTCATGTTGAAGCTTCAAGGATGCCGATTTGGAGCTGGGTCTAGGGGTTTAGGATTTAGGGTTTAGGATCTGGGGTTTAGGATCTAGGAGTTGAGGGTTTAGGGTTTAGGATTTAAGGTTTAGGGTCTAGGAGTGTAGGGTTTGGGGTTTGAGGTTCAGGATTTAGGTATAGTTGTGGTGTTGACCAAAATGGATCGAATAGGCCCGAAGCCTTTATAGGAATAGGTTTGCGTGGTTTGGCCGCCTCGGATGGTGTGCGGCGGATGAATCAGTTCGAGGCTTGCCAGAACTTACTGGTGGTCAGTACGGGAACATAATCCGGAAATCATCATTCCCTACTAACCCTAAATTCGAAAACGCTATGTCATAAGCCCAAACCCTCAATCCGAAATCCCTATCCTATGTAATCATGTTCCTTTCTTCCCTACTAACCACAGGCAAAATCGGGCCATGGTGCGACCACACGCAAGGGTTTTTTGGCGTGACAATCATTGCTTCAGGTCTACATCACAGCAAGACCTAAGCCTCAAATCCTAAGCCCCAAACTCCAAGCCCCAAATCCTAAACCTCAAATCCTGAACCCCCAAACCCTAAGGCCTAGGCCCCCAAACCCGAAATCCTAAACTCTCAAACCCTAAATCCTAAAGTCCCCAAGCCCTAAATCCTAAACTCTCAAACCCTAAATCCTAAAGCCCCCAAACCTTAAATCCTAAACCCCCAAACCCTAAAATCCTAAAACCCTACACCCTAATTCTCCCTGGCTTCAGCCACGGCCACCTGGAGACCCCTGGCCCGCGCAATGGATATCGCATCACGCAACAGCTTGGCCTGACTGTCTTCTTTTCAAGGTTTAGGGTTTAATGTTTAGGGATTTTGGGATTAGGGTTCAGGGTTTAGGGATTTTGGGATTAGGGTTCAGGGTTTAGGGATTTTGGGATTAGGGTTCAGGGTTTAGGGATTCTGGGATTAGGGTTCTGGGTTTAGGGTAGGGTCCTTTTGAAGGGTTATGCAAGGACTACATAGGGGTACAGAGGGATGTACAGATCATAGAATCCTACACTACACACACAGTACTCCCGCTTCCCAAAACAACCTCCACATAAGGCCGAGTTTGCGCTTTAGGGGGTAAATGCAGGGTCCCTTTAAGGGGTTACATGGGGTTATATGGGGGTACACAGGGATGTACAGCTTAGGGTTCAGAGCTTTGGGTTTGGGGCTCAGGGGTTTTGGGTGCGGAAAAGGAGATGAAGGAGGGAATGGCAAATCAGGGTTATGGGATAGATAGGGTTTGGGGTTCACTTGCTAGTTGTTTGTAGGGAATGAAACGATGGAAAAGAACATGGAAGCTTAGATGCGGTGAAGATTGAATAGAAGATCAAACGGAACATGAAATCCACATGGGGTGGGGGGTTATAGGGATATAGAGGATTTGAGGTTTAGGGGATGGATGAAGACAAGAACATGTACACTACCATGTTATCCGGGGGGGGGGCTACTAGAGGGATCCATTCCCCCACTCCGAACCACCAGTAATTCTTGTGGTATCACATTATCACATTCTAGTGTTCGGGCTTCGGTTCACGGATAGTGATGGCTAGGGAACTAGGCTTATAGCTAGTTGTAGCAGGTTTTTGGTACGTGTCACCTCATTTATAACCTGGTCATTCTGGAGTATCTGAGAACATGAAACGAAGCAACTTCGAGAACATTTCTTTAGAAACCACCAAGGGGTGTCGGGTGAGGTCGTTAACACTTGCCCAGTATCACCAGACATGAACCTCCAAGTAGTGTTGACACATCCGGGAGTTTCTCAAAGCAGAGGGCTGTTGATATAACGGAACCCATATTCCCCCACCAAAAACTAAAGGATTCCTAGCATGTACTTACTGATTACCCTTAGTGTAGAGCCCTAATTAATAACCCCCTTTTTGGGGATTGTAATAGGGATTCTAAAGTTAAGGCCCTTAAACGGAAGCGGTTTATTATTCCGGGGTCTACATTACCCTAAACCCTAAATAGTAGTTTCCATGTTCTTTTCCATTACCCCAATATTACCCCAATACAACCATTAATCAAACTTGCCAACGAAGCGGAGCAAAGTTGCCTGGAAGGGATCCGGATCGTTCGCTTTGCTCACCAGGTGTCTCATACCTTTTAGAGTAGCGATGTCCCAAGCATCTTCCAAAGCAGCGCAAGCTTCGTTATCCTTGCGTTCTTCCTCGATCTCATGTGCAGGTCTCATGGGTGGAAGAGGTGCTTCGCGCTTCTTGTCGCGAGGCATGTTCCCAGATGCAAAAATTGTTACCGGGTCCGCATGGTATGCGTTCAACAAACGCGCTGGCCCAAGAACAACTTTCCTAATATGGGTTGCGTTGATGACTCCCATGTAATAGCAAGCCAAACAAGAGCAGGTCAGCCCGATGGCGATGAGGACAGCGCTTCCCGCCCACGCATAATCTCCAATTTGTTGCGCGAGGCTTGGCGCACGTGAGGTTGTGCCCAAGCTCTCCAGAAACTGCGAGTACGCATCCAAAGTCGTTGTGCTGCGCATCAGCTCGGCCATGTCGGGTGTGAATTGGCCGATCCACTCAGGCAGTTCAAGTGACAGCATTGGAGAAGCTACTCGCTCACCCATTGGACATTCGGCCACGGTCTGTCGGCAGCAATGGTCACCAGTGCACGCATAAGGGTCTTTGCACATGACCGGATAGTTGATCGGGCACTTCCATCTGTATTGCCGTGTATTGCAGACATCCCATTCATCAACGTGGCGAATGTCGACTTCATGCGTACTTTGATCAACACATTGCATTACGTTTTCTTGCGGATATGGTGTTTTCCAGGCTTCTGGGTTGTAGGGCTGCTGCGAAATCAACTCTACACAGCGGTCTTGTCGCCATGGAAGGTCTAGGATTTTGCACGTCGCAGGCAATCCCTCAATGGGATAGGGCGGATCCGGCTCCCCCAGCTTGTTGAAAAACTCGCAGACGAAGCCTGCACAATAGCCGCTGAGTGCGTACTTCCTGGGTTGCTGAAGTCAAGTTACTATAATTAGGAAACCCCATGATTTACTACATACCCATATTATGTCTATGGCAACTTAACTTAAATTCCTTAACAGCAGTCCAGCTTCTGACTGAGCTCAAAGCCTCGACGTCCGAGAAACAGAAACTCGTAAATCTTGGATTCACAGCCTCCCACCGACGGGACTTGCAGTAGACCCAGAGAAGGACAGAAACACTCGCAAAATCCTTCAGCATCGCGATAGACTGTTTCGCAGAGGGTTTGATTGAAATTTACAAGAGGTCGACATTCAGCACCTCCATAATACAAGTTGGTCCCAAAGTGCGACAAGTTGGATGCGAGGTCTCCCAAAGCCTGGCAGTAAGACTTGCGGCAATCAGCCCAGACTCCGAGTCCATTTCCTGCCCACTCTCGGCACAGTTGAGGTGCTATGCCCACAAAAGACTGCAGCGCCTGTATCTGAAGCTCATTGCATACGTCCGTGGAGTTAGGAAAGGTAGCTGGCTCCCAGTTGCTATGTCGAGCGCAAGTTGGTGTCTCACACTTGTACTGGGAGGATGCTAAGGCAAAGAGACATCCGAGGATCAGCGCTTGTCGCTGGCCCCCGGGTTTCTCCATGCGCACAGACTGCACAGGAGCTGCGCTGCAATTCTATGCAAACATACTTGCGGATGTGCTTCTAGGTTTTATGCTGTTATGAGACTGACATGAATGCATGCGGATGTGGGCCACATCATCTGCTTGATCCGACTTACTCTGAACGCGGTGTCGAGGTGTCGAGTTAGGGAATTTCGGATGCTCCATGAAGCTTAGACTTTGTAGGGTGGGGAAGTAAATCATTGGTATCAGTTCCACCTCGGCTGCTGTTTAGGGTTTAGGGTCTAGGGGCAGAACTACCATACCCAGAACTTCCAAGAACCTCCTAGAAAAAAACATCATTTCTTCTTTTTTGATGCATGTTTCTGGTGTAGTCTCCTTAGCCCTATGATAAAGCAAAAACTGAAAAATCCTTCGGTTTATGCTATAATAAAAGATAAATAGTTCCTAATGAAACTGCGGTCTGAAGGGCTTTTGGAAGTTCTGTGCGGCCTGAGGCTCCTTTACCTCTCAGGTCCATAGCCGCAACGAGGATTCTCAAACTAACATGGACAACATTCTTTTGGGAGGACTATAGTCTTTGCAGGGCCCTTTTTGGGCTTTCATCTTAGCCTCGGGGAGTATATACTCCAAACCCTTAGCCCTATACATCCGCATCTATCCCTATATACCCCTCATCCTACAGAATCCCAAAAAATCAGGTTCCAGGTTAGTCTGGGGGTTTCATATGCCAGCATCTGGCTGTTCCTCCATGCCTCACACTATAGCTGTCGACAGGTGCCAGTTCAATTTTGGGCTCCGTGCGTGGGTTTAGGATGTAGGATTGAATGCTGGCACCGACCGTTTTACAGTGATAGCTGGAATGCTGGGCAGGGATTTAATATATATATATATATATACCACTACTCTTTTTGGGGACTGCTCTGGTGTGGGGGCAGCATCCCTGTTCAGGGCTACTGACAGCATGAAGCTGCGGCCGTGGACTTGGCTGCCGAAGGGCCTCCCTACCCTGCGCTGCGATGGGTCCGTACGCTTTCAAGCATGCAAGCCAAGAAAGAAACACAGAATGAAGGATGACTCATCGTGAAAGGAAACCCATATACTCTGAATCCTAACAGATCCAGGCAGCGTAGCATGATGTAACATGTGGTGATTTCCCGAAACATGGGTTCCCCGTATGCTGCCCCAATGATTTTCTATCCTTATTCTCGGGACCTACACAGCGGGACCCCCAATTATTGTTGGAACCCCTCAAACCCCTCAAAAGTTTGTCCAAGCTGCGCACTTGCTCAGCCTAGATTATGCTAGACCAAAACCAAGCCTCTCCAATTTTAGGACCTGAAACCTGCTCAGCTCGGGACAGAGATATCCCAAAGGGCCTGCCTAGCCTATTGTTGCAGTTCCTGTGTAGGGGGAATGTGTGCATGAAGCTTACGAAGCACTCGCATTTTGCTCTGCCAGCGCTCAGCATGTGTGGAAAATCACCAGCGCACAGCCGCAAGCCATGTCTGATGCTGAGTCCTCCTGAGAACTTCAACAGCCGGAGTTACAGCATAAGAACTCATTTGGTGAGCTCTGCAAACACATGGGCTGCAATCCATAATGCTTAGGTAGCCGATGGCACGATCTGGGGGACACGTTAGGGGCTGTACTGAAGTAGTTCCCTTGGCAATCTTAAAAGTCTTAACATTGACAACATGACATGTACTCCTGGTCAGCGGTCCTTGTGAGAACATCATGTCAGAACCTGGATCGAGGCACCAATGGTCTCAAAGGCACTTCACATGTGGGATCCTGCTACAACATCTCCGGATGAGGGTTTCCCAAAATGGGGGCCCTATTTAGCATTGTTTACGGATACTTTCGAGAAAAAATCTTGTAGGTCACGCGTGGCAAGTTGTCAATCTCTGTTCCATGTTCTGGCGCCCCTGAACATTGAAGGGTTGCACTTTTATCGGGACCCCCAAAAAATATCTGTGGCAACATGTCATATGAGGAAACCCATAAACCAAAAGCATCAATCATCCGAAAGGTTGATAAAGCAAGCCGCGAAACCCAAGCTCTAAATCCAAAACCCGTAGCCCCAAAAGGCGAAACCTTGAAGGTTGAGGGTTTAAGGGTTTACGGTTTAAGGGTTGAAGGTTTCAGGTGTAAAGGTTTAAGGTTCCAAAACACTAAAATTATGCGGGGAAAGAAAAGGGTGCCTCGCAGCCATCGGATGTGATCAGGATGGTGTGCTCGAACCTCAGCGGACCCCTTCCTTCCAAAATTTGGGGGAGGTTTATGGGCTCAAAGGTTTTAGGGTTAGGGCTTGGGGTTTAG